TACGGGAGCTCTCTGATTTTATCTTGCTGCTTTCAAGATTCTCCCCTTGTCTTTAACCTTTGGCATTGTAATTATGATGTGTCTTGGTGTGGGTCTCTTTGGGTACATCTTGTTCAAGACTCTGTGCACCTCCTGTACTTGTATGTCTATTTCCTTCACCATGTTAGGATGTCTATTTCCTTTGCCGTGTTAGGGAAGTGTTTTGTCACCGTTCTTTTTTCAAATAGGCTTTCAACTCCTTGCACTCTCTCTTCTTCTGGTACCCCCCTGATGCGAATGTTGGTTGTCCCAGAGGCTCCTTATACCATATTCACTTGAGGGGTTCTTTTTTTTCTCTTTTTACCGTGCTGATTGGGTGTTTTTGCTTCCTTACAATCCAGATTGCTGATTTGATTCTCAGCTTCATCTACTCTACTGTTGATTCCCTGTAAAATTCAGGGGTGTCCAACCTTTTGGCATCTCTGGGCCACACTGGAAGAAGAAGAGCTGTCTTGGGCCACACATTAAATACATTGCAACACGACATCACAAAACATCTCATAACGTTTTAGGTAAATTTACCATTTTGTGTTGGGCCACATTCATAGCCATCCTGGGATGCATGCTGCCTGTGGGCTGTAGGTTGTACACCCCTGCAAATTACTCTTCATTTCAGTTATTGTATCTGTCATTTCTGAATGGTCTTTTTTTATGCTGTCGAGGTTCACACTTAGTTGATTGAGCACCCCCATAACCAGTGTTTTTAAACTCTACATCTAGTAGACTGCTTGCCTCCATTTTGTTTAGTTCTTTTTCTGGCATTTTGTTCTGTCCTTTCATTTGGGCCATGTTTCCTTGTCTCCTCATTTTGGCAGCCTCTCTGTGTTTGTTTCTCTGAATTAGTCAGAGGTGCTATGTCTCCCAGGCTTGGTAGAGTGGCCTAATGTAGCATGTATCCTGTAGGGTCCAATGGCACATCACAACCTCCCCATCACTCAAGCTGGGCACTCAAGGTAGCATCTATCTACCATGTAGGCTGAGTACACCTTCCTCTTGTAGTCGAGCCTTGATTTTTGTTTGCAGGTCAATGGGAGGGATTTACCCTGAGGCTAGTAATCTGCAAGGGCTGGCTGTGACCATCAACCACTGTGGAGGATCAGCTGTATAGGGGCCCACCCCTGGAGCAGGACTTAACTTCTGTGGGGCTCTGGTGTCCGCTGAGTCTGCCCCTTGGTTGTGTCATCTGTGGAGGTGGTTGGGTAGTGGTGCTTCAATGTGGTCTGAAGCTGTCCACCAGATGTGCTGGCTTGGGATGTACCTCCCAGGAGGTCCCTTGACCCAGGCCAAGGTCAACTGCCACCTATGTTCTGCTCGAGGCGACCTGGTATGAGTTACAGAGTGATCTGCAGATGGCTGCTACTTGTGCTGGGCTTGGAGGTGCCCAGGTGAAGCCAAGCTGCAAACCAAGGCTGACTGCTGTTAGTGCTGGGGCCGGGGCCACTTAGCAAGAGGTACAGAGCATGCTGAGGTCGGGTGCTGCTTGTTTGAGAGGTTTTCGGAAAATCTGAAGCATGAGCCAGGAGAGGCCATTCTTGGGGAAAAGCCACTGGAAACTGCTTGGCTGGGTCTGAAAGTTGGGTGAGATGGGACCTCGGGGAATGACCAGGGTAGGGCAAACAGTGTGAGCCAGGTTCATGGATGGAGTGTCAGATATGGGGCCCACCTGCAGGCTTTGTGGGGGGAGGGCTCATCAAAGGAACGATGACCTCTGTCGACACTTGTATCTGAGAGAAAGCTGCCTCCTAGCTCTCCCAATGTAGGACAATTCAGTTCTTCCCCATATGTCTCTGGTGCCTTTTAAACTGCTGCTCCAGTGCTGGAGCTCAGAGGAAGTGAGTCCGGGTAAGTTGATGTAGGGTCCCTTTAAGAGGAACTCCCTGGGACTCCAGAACATCCCCATCTCCCTCAGCCTCAATCCCCACTGGTTTTTTTATACTCAGAAGTTATGGGGACTTTTCTTCCTGGCTCTGGAGCCCTGGCCTAGGAGACCTGGTGTGGGGCCTGGACACCTCACTCCTCAGGTGGTCCTCTGAAGCTGATCTCCCTCCCAATTTGTGTCTGCCGCATGTGGGTGTGGGGCCAGCTGTTCCATGCTTCCACCCCTCCTACTGGTCTCAGTGTGGCTTCTTTAATTCCCTAGTTGTAGGACTTACATTCAGCCAGATTTCAGGTAGTTCTGAGTGATGGTTGTTCTGTAGCTGTAGTCATGATGTGGTGGTGGGAGGAAGTGTGTACCACATTTACCTATGTGGCCATCTTATAAGAGAATAAATTTGAAAAGTTCTCATCGCAAGAAAAACTTCTGGAACTATATGGTGACTGTAACTAGACTTACTGTGGTGATCATATATATATATAAATGGTCTGTCCAGAAGGTATCTAGCCAAGTAATATGAAAAATAGAGACATTGCCCTGGCTGGCGTAGCTCAGTAGATTGAGCGTGGGCTGCAAACCAAAGGGTCACTGGTTGGATTCCCAGTCAGGGCACGTGCCTGGGTTGTGGGCCAGGCCCCCAGTAGGGAGCGCTTGAGAGGCAACCACACATTGTAACTTCTCTGCCTCTCTTTCTCCTTCTCTTCCCCTCTCTCTAAAAAATAAATAAAATTTTACAAAAAAGTGTGCTGTTTGTAAAAAAACAGAGACATTTATTGAAGAAGATACAAGATATAAGAAACATTGTACAGAGGGCAATGACACCTCAGTCCCCTTCAACATAGGTGCCTTGGGACCTCGCACAGTTCTCCCAGTTGCCGTCAGCTGCCCCGTCGTATTTTCCTGATTCTCATCAATGGCCTGAAATCTCTTCCCTTTCAAAGGTGATTTTAGTTTCGGGAAAAGCCAGAAGCCACAAAGCACCAGATCTGAGCTGTACAGGACTGGGTCACCTGGGTGATTTGATGTTCCCCCCCCAAAACTCTGCACAAGACGTGATGCATGAGTGGGCACATTGTTGTGATGAAGCTGCCAATCAGCAGTTACCCATATATGAGGCCTTCTGAATCATCCGAATAGTTTCCATGCAGGAATGTTCAAGCTTAATGCAAAATTTCATGCAGATTTGTTGCTCTACTTGCTCCGTCATTTTGAGTGAGACAACCACACAGTACACATGCTCACTCAATGGTGTCTACCACCCCCCACTGACTAGTACAGTGAAGCCATCATTGTTCACACAGACACATTCCAGTCTACTATCTTTGGCTGCCAGGTTATATCGAAATTGCACAAACCATTCTCATTATATTAACAATGGCTGGACTTTATCTGTACAGACCACACACACACACATCATAATGTTGTACACCTGAAATATGTTATATGTCAATTGTACCTCAATAAAAGTTAATTCATTTAAAGCAAAAACAATGTGGAGATGGGGTCATACAAAAGGCTTTTCTCGAAATGCCTGGCAACTATTTTAAAAAATGTCAGTGAAACCTCATATTCCATTCAGCATCCTAGTCATGGGATTTACATTTTATTTAGTCTGTTAGAAAGTTTCTAACCTACAAACTGACACTGTAGGCCTCCTCCCTGCCTGACTCCTCATTTTTGCTCACCAATGTCAGGATTTAGAATCCTTCTTGTCCGTGAGTATGTACAGGGTGGAGAAAAATAGGTTTACGGTTGCATTGTGACATTTTTTGAGTTAAAAGAGCTATTATAATCATCATAACCTGCATGTCTTTGATACCAACAACTGCAAACCTACTTTTCCTTACCCTGTAGTCTGAAGAAGGCCAGTATAATAGAGTTCATGGGGGATATTCAAATGTACCAGTGGTCCAACCTCCCTAAACAGCCAGAACCCACAGTGGGTTGTCATACGGACCAATACTAGACCCCTATTCACAATTCTGGTTATATAACACAGATTATTTGCAAAAGAGAGGGAGGAAAGCACATATTAAGGCTTTCTTGGTGGAACCCATCCTATAGAATTTGGAAGTCTATGAGAACATTTTGTTTGTTTCTGTGGCTGCTTTTTCCCTTTAGAACCCGATTGAGGCAGCACTATACAAACCCTTGAAGGGGGGGAAGCAAGTCACCAAAACTGAATTGTTTCTTTGCCTCTGAGCTGCATTTGCCCAAAGTTAGCAGAGCCCTGGTCCTCCCAAGCCCTGGTCAGCCATGACTGAGATCCCTGCCCTTGGCACTCAGTGGCCTGCCTGGTTGGGCTGCTTTCCAGGCAGCTCCCAAGCAGAAGGTCTGCAGCCAGATTCTGTCAGTGCACTCACACGCACTGTCGGCAGCAAAGCTCATAAGCCCATCCTGATTTTTCCTCCTTTACTTTTCTTCTCCATCTCACCCCAAATTATTCTTTGATGCAACTTGGGTTTATGTATGGTCTCAGGGAATCACCTCTTGACCCACTGACCCATAAGTCAGTCATCACTGACTGAGGAAATGAAAAAGTATTTCAAATAGCCCCCAGGTGAGCATCCAGCCTGAACTCAGAGCCACCTCACACTACCAACAAGCTCCGCACAACCCGTCTCTTCACAAAAAGGAAGAAAAAGATCTCTTAGGGATTAGAAATTCCTCAACAGTGGGTGGTTTGGGGGGGGGGGGGGAATAAAAGATAGAAAATTGTACTGCAACGGCAATTAAAATAAAGAAAAAAAAAAAGGATTCCTCAACAGTGTTCACTAATGCATTTGGTAGTTTCTGAGATTTCACTGTGTGTGGCATCCTCAGGGCACACAGTTGATCCTATATTAATCTTGTCTAGCACTTAATGCCTTTCTTAGGTTGGTAGAACTCTGAAATTGTTTTAGTTTATTTCCTGTTTTAGACACATGTCAAAAGTTGCACCTCTCCGTTGCACCGCACCATAAAGCACAACCAACTACATTAGCAACGTTTGCAGACTGACGTATCTGAGTATTCCACAAAATTAACATTTAGGGCTGCCACTCTACACCGTTTTACCAAACACTTAAAAACAATGGCAGGAGAGGGCCTCTCTCTCCTGGGGGGTTCCTTTTCTTCTGAGCCAGAGCTGGAGGGCAGGATCAGCTTTAAGGATTATTATTGGGGCTGCCTTGAGCTGGGCAGCCTTGTTTTCCTACCTCAGATATTTGTAGTTGCCGGGAACCCCTGCTTGATTTGTGCCAGGCTATGGCTGTAAGTGGTCACCCTGGGCATAACACCTCTGGCTTTCCTTGGATACTTCCAGGCTCTCGTGAGCTGATATGGTCTAGGTTTCTCCAAAAGTAACTTGGTCCTATGTCTGCCCCGTAGGCAGGATGTATGCCAATCCAAATAAGTGGTCACCTATCTCAAAGATGCCTACGCTTCAAGGGGAGTGTCCAGAAGCGGGGACTTCTATTGTAAAAGGGGCGCCTGAGGCCAGCAAACTCAGGATAACCTTACCATTTTTCCCTGCCTGGATTAACTTGGGTGCCAACCCAACAGCCCCACCCATCAGCCCTACCCATCAGCCCATAGCTGTGTCCTGCACAGGGTTCCTTACAGGGTTGAGAGGCATGGGGTGGTAAGGAACAGCCATGAGTGGGTGCTGGAGGAGTGTCACAGGTGTCAGGCAAGGAAATCAGACCTGACACCTAGTACCCCCACTACAAGTGCAAGCCCAGCTTCTAAGCAGTTAGCTCCACCCAATGGGACAGCTCACTGTCCCTCCAACCAGGGCACTTTGCCTCGGGAAAGTTTTCTATATTGACGTGGCTTCTTCCTTAGCTGATAAAACAGTGTTTTAGAAAAGCTCTAAAGTTCTCAGCTCTAAATTCCCTATCTGTTGATAAGGACAACTTCCTGGTACAGGGGTAATGCCTTTCACATGGGAAATTTATTTTCTGCTTTCAGGGGTCAGAGGAGGGTCAGCATGCTGTTCTTGTACTGGCTGTTTCTCAAGTAACTTAAATTCAAAATAGTCAATATGCCAATGTAGCGTATTTGGGGTGGCAACTTTTGCTCCCCTTCAGTTAAAAAATCCACCCTCATCCATCCAGGCTGACCCCTCCCACTAGTTCTGATAGGCACAGACAAGGCATGCTTCAGACAACACTGCTGCACACTCCTAGTGACTCCAGAAGCTCCACCCCACCCTAGTTTGCCTCAGCCTAGAGCGGGTTCCCTCCTATCACTAGAGAACCCTTCCTTCCAGGGTTGGGATCATCATCAAATGTTTACAGCTGAACAAATGTGGGACCTGGAATAAGCCAAGAGAACATATTTTTTAAATTCTTAAGCTTGTATATCATCCTGCCTATGATTAACCATCTGTACACCTTGGCTCATTGCTCTGATGACTCCTTAGGAGAACCCTGCTTCCATATCATTGCTATAGGAGAATAATGCCCAGATCTTTCCCCTTTGGGCAAATAAGGACACTGCCAAAATGAATTAAGATCCTCATTTCCATCCCACCCTACCCTTCCTAAACACCACTACGCCAACGTCACCAAAAATATAAATAGAACTCTACTTCAGTCATTTCCAATTATTTTCACCAGAAATGAAAAATAGTTCTATGTGTCCACCCAAGCACATATGATGTCAGTTCCTCAAAAAATAGATTTTAAAAGGTGCATAAGCATTTTGAATTCATTGTCTGTATGCTTTCTTCATATTCATTTGCATCAACATTCATATAATTGTTGCCCAGTGCTTGAGAAACCAGGTTACAAAGCTCTCCCCACTGTGTACCAACAGCTATTGAGCTAAGTGGTGGGGATAGTTACTTCCTGTGAATTTTTTGGTGCTCTAGAAATTCAGCTTCTACCTGTGAGTGCCAAGAGTATTTAGCATTAGTTCCAATCATACAAAGAACAAGCTTCTGTATAACATCTACAGTGCTTATCTCTCCTATAGCATCTAGAAGGCCACTGGCTTCCCAAAGTCACAACATCCATGCTCAAAGTTATTATTTGTGCCCAACACTTGATCCTTCACATATTCCTCTCAGTAAGTGGTGTTATCTTCTGTTTTAAGCCAGAACCCCTGGAATCATCCTTGACACTCCTCTCTTCATTAATTCTCATTCACTCCATCACAAGATAATTCTCATTGTCACAATGAGGTATCCCACTATTATATAGTGAGCAGAGAACAAGGAAGGGCACTAAAAAAATCCTACAATGCACAGCAGAGTCCCCCACAATAAAGAATGATCCCTTCCAAAATGTCATTAGTGCCCAGCTTGAGAAACTCTAAGCTAATAGTATTGTACCAATGCCAGAGTTTTCTGGCTTTGACAATATACTATGGTTACATATGATGTTACCATTGGGGGAAGCTACATGAATGGCATGCAGGATCCCTATGTACTATTTACCAACTTCTTGTAAGTTGTAAGCTACAGTCATACCTTGGTACTTGTCAGCTTCAGAACTCATCAAACCCTGTACTCGTCATGTGTTGACAAGAAAAAAATGTTTCACCACTCAGTGCTTGCTCAGGACGTGTCACACTTGGTAGAAGTTGTATGAGTCATGACACTGCCCTGCAACAGAAAATGCTTCATCATTTGGTACTCGTCAGTCTCGACGCTCCTCACGAGTTCCAGAACAAATTAACCTACTGACTACCGCTGTATTTCTAAATCAAAAGTTGTAACAAAAATAATAGTTAATTAAACCTTCTAATTACTCTCCACTGTGCTCAATATGACCCCCCACATTTAAGCATATTATTCAAACCCAATTCCATATCCACTATTTACTGACTGTGTGTCCTCAGTCACTCAAACTCTGTGATTCACAGTATTCTCACTTTTACAGTGCAGATGATGCCATTGTAAAAATTACATGACATGTGTCTGTTCTTATGCCAGTACCAGGCTGTTTTGATTACAGTGGCCTTGTAATACAGTTTGATATCAGGTATTGTGATCCCTCCTACTTTGTCCTTCTTTCTCAAAATTCCTGTAGCTATTCGGGTCGTTTATGGTTCCATATAAATTTTTGAATCGTTCATTCTATATCTGTGAAGCATGTCACTGGTACTTTCATAGGGATTGCATTGAGTCTATCAATTGCTTTGGGTAGCATGGACAATGTACATAGCAGCACAATTTACAATAGCCAAGTACTGGAAGCAACCTAAGTGCCCATCAGCAAATGAGTGGATCATAAAGCTATGGTACATTTACACGATGGACTACGCAGCACAAAGAAAGAAGGATCTCCTGCCCTTTGCAACAGCATGGATGGAACCAGAGAGCATTATGCTAAGTGACATAAGCCAGGTGGTGAAAGACAAATACCATATGATCTCACCTTTAACTGGAACTTAATCAACACAACAAACAAGCATGCAAAATATAACCAGAGACACTGAAATTAAGAACAAACTGACAGCAACCAGAGGGGAGGGGGGAGGGGATAATGGGGGGAAAAGGGGGAAGTGTTTTCAGGAACAAACATAAAAGACACATGGACAAAACCAAAGGGGGTGGGATCGGGGGAGGGAGGTGGGAATGGCTGGTGTGGGAGGGTAGTGGCGGGGGTAAATGCAGACAACTGTACTTGAACAACAATAAAATAAAAATTTTAAAAAGTTATGTGACATGGAGTTCATGAAGGTACTCCATGATTTGTTAACTGGTGTACAAATTTGGGGAACTATAACTTTTAGCTCTGGCTAAACTTTATATAACTTTCCCCTACCTCATCTCACACCAAACTGATGTATTTGCTTTCCCATATTTTTTATCCTTCTGTGTCATCTTCGTTTTAAGCAATTTGCCTAAAATATCTCTTCCTTCTTCAACTCTGTCCAAATTCTTTCCATCGAGGATTTATGCACAAAGACAAACTGGTTACACAAATAGTGAAAAAACGGCCAACTAAATTATGGTATCTGACCAGCAGTGTTGGCCATCAATTCATTCATTCAAGAAATGGAATGCTACCCAGATAATGTCACATTAAAGGAATTCCTCATCAGCAAGCCCTTATTATATGAAATGTTAAAGGGACTTATCTACGAAAAAGAAGCAAATCAAAACTATTAGGAGTAAAATGACAACAAATGCACAACCACCAACAAATGAACCTAAAAAACAAAAACCAAAACAAACTAAGCAAACAACTAGAACAGGAACAGAATGACAGAAATGGAGATCACATGGAGGACTATCAGTGGGGAGGGGGGGAAGGGGGAGAATGGGGGGAGAAGGTACAGGGAATAAGAAGCATGATTGGTAGGTACAAAATAGATGGGGGGAGGTTAAGAATAGTACAAGAAATGGAGAAGCCAAAGAACTTATATGTATGACCCACAGACATGAACTAAGGAGGGAAAGTGCTGGTGGGACGGGGATACAGGGTGGAGGGGGATAAAGGGGAGAAAAAAATGGGACAACTACATTAGTATAATCAATAAAATACTTTAAAAAGAAAAAAAAAACACTTACCACCTAATAAGTGCCAGGCACTGTGCTTGACCCTGAAATACAACGGTGGTTATGGTTGACAATAAATATGGTTTGAATGGTTGAATGAGGGAAAGAATGAAAAAGTAAGTTGTGACATAATAAAAAGTAGATTTGTTCTTTGTCCCTAGTTCCTGGCACAAAGCTCTCCAAGCCCTTACAGTTTCCTGAGCGATATTGTCATGGTGGAATGAGCGGCCAGAGGGGAAATGAAGGCAGGGCCCTCACCATTACAATCTGACCAAGAACTTAGTATGGGAGGCTAAAAGCAAAAGCTCACACGTTGACCCAGAAATCCTGAGCCTGGTCCGATTAGGCTGCCAGGTGTCCCAAACAACAAGTGAACTATGATAGTGCAGGAGGGGGGTCGCCCTGGAAAGTCTGTGTGTATCATCTCCACTAGCTGGGAACAGGAAAACCTTGAGACTGTGTCTTCATCCCAAGGCCTGGATGGGGGGGAAGGGGAGGGGTCCACAGTGCCCAAAGAGAAGCCCCCTAAAACAACTTTGGTTAACTGCCTGCCTCCTGTCACGTATGCAACATGAATAAATAGAGTCTGGAGCAAGAAAAGGATTCGGGCTAAGAGACTCTCACCCATACCTACGTTTGGGTAGTCACGTCTCCCCCAGAAGGCTGGCACTACCTTTACCTGCCACTCAAAATGTAACTTCTTCACCCCCACCCCA